GCCTATTTATGACATGCCTTGAGTGTGAACCAATTTTGTAACAAAAAAAATCTTATACAAAAAAATTAAGAATCCAATTTGTGAGACTTGCCCTTATACTGCCCAATGCTAAAAGTTGTTTTGAATCTTTGTATCATTCTGTGTTCATGTGATTTACATATTAGTATCTGTAAAGTAAGTTGTTAGTTGTTGTTTTTGTTTCATCAGCATGTGAAGACATGAAGGAAATTGTTTGTAATTCATTCTTTAAAAACAAATGTGCTGCAATCCTTTTTATTGCCAATTGGTTACATAATGTTATCTTTACTTATTAGAGAGCTTTAATCAATAGTATTGTTTGTATGGACAATCATTCATTGGGAGGTGATATACAGTTGTTATTGTCCAATTAGATTAGAACCTTTTTGGTTCCAGAATCTAACCATTTTATGCGGTGATACTTAACATTTCAATTCAGTGCTAGTAAAATTGTGTTGGCAGAGAAGGTTAGCCCACTCAGCTAACGGCATGGGGTGTGAAACAAGTTATTGAATAACTTATTCTTTGTGGAGTTCAAAAATGGAGGAATATCCAAACACGTCATCATTTTTTTCTCTTTAACTTTTCAACTTTCCATTTTTTATTTCCTTAAATTTTATTGTAAAAGTAATGTTTTCTTTTCTGTTGTTGGAGAATTTGTTTTTCTTGATATTTTATTTTGACTATTCATTGATTTTTTAAAATTATTCTTACTACAACAATCAAAATGTGTGGTTGAATAAGACAGAGCTCAGTTGATTGAGCTTATATTTGATGTTCTCTTGAACAATCAGAATGATTGAGAAAGGATAGGGGTGACAAAAATTAGGTCAAATTAGATCTACTTTGCTTTCTTTGTACGAGGATGGTTTCAGTCTGTTTCATCGGAAGTTATGCTTGCTGTTCAGTTTTGCTGCATTTTGATCAAGCTAGTTTTTCAATGATGTTCCCTTTTAAATTGACCTGATATTAATACCATTTTCAATTCAGTTACATTTACCTTGTTGTTTTTTTTCCCCCCTCATTTTTCTCTTCATCATATTTCATGTTTTATTTTGTAGAATTCTATAAAGGTTTAGCATTATACATCTCTCTGAGACATTGCTAAGTGACCCCTGTTCAAGTTTTCAAAGACAAATGATGTTTTATACTTTTTTTGCCCACAGAGCAGAAGTGACCACCTCTAAGTTTTTCTTGGTGTGCTGCTTTTGTGAACATTTTTTGATAGTAGGAAAAACTTTATATATACCTAAAATCTATCCAGTGTATATATTTCAAAGCTATAAAGGTAGTACGTCTCTCTAAGTGACCTGGATGTTTATGAGAAAGATGATTGTTTATTGTAGGTTGGTTAATGGTTAACCTCTTGTGGTCTGACCTCTTGCTTTTCCTTTCAAATATCAAGCACCCATTCCATTTGGGAGAACTCAAGAGAAATTCTAAAATCTTGAATTTAAATTCACACAGCTGATGTAGAGTTTCAGCTCTAGACCATCAACTTCAGCAGCCATGCTGACATTCACATTCAAAGAAAACAAATTTCATAGTATCATATGCTTGACTAACTTACGGAATGGCTTTCTTTTTTTTTTGACAAATGTTTACTTTTGTTTTGCCTCTAAGTACAAAGAAGCTAAATTCTTCTCAGGACATATTTATTATTATAATAAAATTTTGACATAATGCTTTTCATTTGACACTTAATTTGCATATTATAATCAGCTCTTAGTAAATTTTATATTTGACAGAATGGTGGCCTCAGCCATGTTAGTTTGTATTGGAAGGGATAGTAGTGCACCTATTTTCATGGTCTAGGAGTGTCCCAGTTGGTTTGTGTGTCAAAAGTACCTCCCTGTGCCCTATTGTGACCCTGTCAGCCATCTTATTTTACACAAACCAGCAGGGTGTAGTTCTTTTTAAGTCCTACATGTCTGCCCAAAGAAGACCAACCCGCCATCAATATGTGCCTTAGCCCAGACTCATCTATGCAACTGATCAACATCCAATTGCTTTAATGGAAATGATAGATAAATAATAAGAAAACAGAAAACTGGGTCTTGGGCATTCAAAGTGTAACTACAAACATTGTGTGTGTGTGTCATCTGTGTTAGAAATACGTTGAATATGTTGGCACTGGTGGCACACATTTTGGTCATTATGGAATGTCTTGTTTTAATGTTCAATTCATGTTGACAAAATATCTGATGGTACACCATCTGTTTTGATTGTTACATTTTGTTATAATTGTCTATCTGGAAGCCCATTTTATAGTGTTTAAAACAAATGTTATCTATTTTAATATTCTTTATATATTTATAGCTTTTTATATAGCGCTACTTTCATGCTTATAGCATGCTCAGAGCGCTTTGGTCCAATCTCGTTTGTGGACCAGTGGGGGTATCTAGGAGTTGGTCTTCCGTGCTGCCTTTAGGCGCTCAGTAAACACAACTCTGCCAGAGTCGGGTGTCGAACCTTGAGCCCCCTTCTAGGTAGTCAAGCCAAGCCAAGTTCAAGCGCACTTAGCCTCTTGACCACGCTTCCCACATATATATGAAGGCATAATACTGTTTAAACCAAACAAGCACATGACAGGAAATAAACGCTAGTTTTGAACTCAGGTATGGAAGGGCACAAAAAAAAAAGTTCGATAGAAACAAGTTGCCATCTTTTGTTACAAATGCATGCGTTAAACTTGATTATCTAGATGGAGCTCTTTTATTTGTATGGGAACAAAAAGAAAAGGGTCATTACAAAATGTAAGAATATTTAAAGATCCTTTGATTAAACTTGATATACTGATAGTGAAAATGAACAAACTTGAAAAGTCAAACTTAGGCTCTAATATTTTGAAGTATAGATGCATACCATTTAATCATTGGCTAAAAAACAAACAAAAACAACCTATAAGATGCTATCAGCTTTTGTGATATTAAATACAGAACATTTTTTTTTTTCAAGGCTACTAAAATGCCTTAATTGTTTAGCCAAAATAGCCATTTTTGTTATAGTTATAATTTAAAGTCTAATAAAGAATAAAGACCATGAGATTCCCTCCAAGATATACTTTCTCTTTTTTTTTTTAATACATGAAGCTGAAATTGTGAAGGGCTATGTGAACAATGGGTTGAATTAAACATTTGTTCAAGTCTTTCCTCACATCTCTCCTGTCTTTATTACTAGAAACCATTCGTTTGAAGTCTCAGACTTTGATGTCCGCTATTTATTTATGGCTAAAAACATTACATTTTAAATTGAATGGTTCAAATGTGAAAACAGTATTACTAAACATTACTTTATCACTAGATATGTCTAATTATCACCTGTGTTACTTTAATATGATGTTTGATATTTTGGTTAACATTGCAATGATTGCACTCAAAGAGAAGAGATATAAAAAAAAATGTATTACATTGTTAGTTTTGCTACCATTGTTTATTTTTTTGTAACAAATTGTCAGAAGTGTCCTTGCCAGGGTTTTACCAACACATAGAGATAAATATATTTAATGTGTATTTACTGTTGGGATTGTTGCTGTAATTATAATGATCATTGTTTGATGTATGTGTTAAGTGTTCTATTCTAGTGAACAAAATTATTCTTGTAAGAACAATTTGACATTATTTGGTGACATATTTTGTTGCTTGACCCAGCTGCAACCCTTACCCTGCTCGCCGCAAGCTACTCAGTGTTCAAGATTTGTTTCTGAATGTTTGAAATTTCCCATAATTCACACACCATTCCTAAATTATTTCTTTGGTTGAAGAGTTACTATTTATTGATTGTTCAAGATGAATGGACTAAGCTAAATCAGTTCAATGCTTAAAGGGAAATAGTTGTTGTTTAATTAATGCTGTCGCATTCAAAACATTTGACTATTGACAATGCCAAAACTGAAGTGAAGTTCGCCCACTGTCTAGTTGAATCTTTTTGCAAGCATGAATATCCTTGAATAGATTTAGACTGTTATACAAACACATTTTTTCTTGTCAGCCTCTATACCCAGTGAGCAAGGCATGTATAAAAGCTAACTTAGAGAATGAGTTAAATCAATAATATTTTTGATGGCATCTTTAGACAATTTAAATTTGAAATATAGATTATAAACTTTGATAATATTTGCCCATTTTTGGGGGGTTCATGTTAATGCATTAGGCTAAAAATGAAAAAAAAAATTTGTAAAAGTTTCAGTCCTAATTTTGACAAGAGCCTTTTAAAAAAATATTCTATGACAGCAGCTAGAAGGGTCTCAAAAAGGAATTTAAAAATATTCCGTCTCAACTGTATGAGAATGTTGGATACATTTGTTACCACATTTTACACTGATTGTGTCCTAATATGTCAGTGATTGGCAACCCATAAAAAAGTTTTCTCTTATGCCGTCACTTTAAAAAAATCTGTTGTGACAGTGTGTCTTCTTTTCTGGTTGACTTCGACTGTAGCATTAAACCATTGGTGACTGGCTCAATGTCTCAGTTGACAAACTTTTATTGTACTGTATCCTCACAAATAAAACATATTTTATTTTTCAAGATATTCTTCCTGTGTTTGTAATAAAAGATTTTTCTAATGAAATAATTGTTTTAAATTTCATACTTTCTTTATCTACAAATATTTGGAAGTAATTAATTTGTCATATTCAATACATATGGGATGTGTGGCATTAACCACTTGGCTACCTATCTGACAGCACAGAAACCTTTTCTAGATACTCCCTATCCCGTATCTCACTAAGACCAGAGCACACTGGTGAAAGATAGGCGCTATTCAAGCAATTTAGAAATATATATATATATATATTTTTACTAATCCATCATGTCAGAACAGCTTTTACTCAAATCTCATTTTCCATATCTGGCACTGCTAATACTACAGTAGTGTTTTCAAAGTTTTAAAAGTCTATAAAGTCTACTTGTAAGCTACCTCATTTACTGACTTAATAGGCTTGTTTTCAGAGGTTCACAAAGAATGACCCAACACTGGTATCTATTTATAAGTTTATTCACTTTTTTTTTAAAACAATATTTAATCAGTTAAATGTCACATTATCAATATAATGAAATATGAATCAGTTGCATGCTAATGTGTAGATATAAAGAAATGGTTGAGACATGCACACTACAGAGACAAGATTATCAGCACTCTTAGCCCAGAGGGACATTGGGCACTTTATGTGTGGTTCATCTTACAATCCACATGAGTTGTACCCTGGTGATAATTAGTACAACGAGAACAAACAGAATTATATTTGCATAGACTCAATGGCATATGAAAACAGAATAAATTAAAGCTGATTACAATGAGTGGTTAGTAATAGAATTCACAGTTAAGAAACTTTTCTTTTAATAAAAAATGTACGTTGCTTGAAATATTTTTAATGGTACAGTGACTAAGAACAGCTGGGAACCCCTGGTCTAGATTTTAAAAAATGATTCAAACTTGAACTCAAGAATGAGAATAACGCAGAAAAAAATACCAAGCAACATAGCCTCAGCAATCATAGAACATGCAATATTTGTTAAACTAATACAAGATTTGGTTTAAAAAGTTTGCAATATTTTAAGATACAGGGTTTTATTGATACGATGCTACAAATTCTGTTCACATAATGGTTTTTATTATTAGTATTTTATTTTATTATTATTGGTTGCTATTAAAAAATCAGTATGCTTCAGCAAAGAAAAAAAAACTTACTACAAAGACCTAACTTTTATACTTGTCTTCCAAGACATAACATCATTTGTATTCAGTGGCGTCATGCACCGGGTGAAAGGGGTTGACACCCGAATGGAAAAAAAAGAATATTTTAAAAAACTAGAGAATAAAAGCCAGAATGGAAAAATTGAATATCAGCAAAAACTAACAGATAAAAAAAAAAGAAGACCAGAAATCTCAACATATATATATACACATACCCAAATATGTATGCCTAGGCACATATCTACTGTACTATTCTAGATCTATATATTTTATTTGAGGCCTTATTGTAAATATTTTATTTTCTTAGGTAAAAATGTTCAAAATGTTACGTGATAACAAAGGGGATGCAAAGGCTCAGTTGTTGTTGTTGTTTTTAGAACAAACATTGTTTGTATTTGTATTGTACTCATGTTCTATTTAAGTATCCATTAATTAGGCCACAAAGAGACTCTGTATTACTACATTTTAAGACAAATTATTAATTAATTATGTGACGTTTTATCGTCCAAGTAGAACTTTTCTAAGTTCTAAACATGAGGATAATCTAGAACTACTGCAGCTTTCCTCAAGCTGTGGTTGGGGGGGGGGGGGGGGGGGCACCCTTTGGGTCGAAGTTCTTGCCAATGGGGAGGGGGTGAAGAAATTCAAATTATTTTACACAGGTATAATTAAAAACAAGATAGTTTTTTCCATCAAATTTTTAATGAAATGACATTATCAATGTTTTAATGTTTAAAATATTGTATGATAACGACTTCGTGTATTCTACTAATAAGGATCTTTTTTCAATGTATACCGTTGTTGTTTAAGGCGTCTGCAAAAATATCAATTAAAAACTTTTTAAAAAAGACATTTCAAAACGTCTCTACTGACGTAATTCTTTTTGAATGGTCAGAATAGTCAAAATTCTCTCAAGTGTGATAAAAACTAAAAAAGCTTCTTACTGAACATGAAGATGATCTTAAGACATACGTGCGCTATATATACCTCGAACATCCCCCTTATAATAGTATTGGCCAATGCTGCCTTCTTTTTTAATAGTCTTAATTTGAGCAACTTTTTTTTTTTAAACTAGCATAAATAGTGAGTTCAGATTCCAAGAAAATATTTCTTTATAGGAACGTCCCACTTAATTATAATTTAAAGTTGACATGGGCTCCTCTTAGTATGGGAAGAAAAATATGCTGAAGACAACACAAGCTGAGAACTAAGGAAAACGCTTGGAGAAGCTAACAGCGCTTCAACAGACCACCTAGCAGGATGGCTAGGGAACTTGATGCCTCTCTAACACTATCTCCAGAAAGAACTTTTTCGGTTATACAAAACAGTTAAAAATCATGTACATAGCACTATTTCTGAAAAAAAAAAAAAAGTTTAGCGGGCAGGGACATTGACCCTAGTGACGCCACTGTTTGTATTTAATGTATTAGAGGGACTACAGATTAATGGCAGAAATCTAAAGAAATGTGGCTGCTGTTTCAATGATATGTCAACTGTTGGACTTCTGGATAAAAAGCAATATCTGGGGTGACAATTCAAATTGCTCAGAACTTGAAGTCATTTTGGCTTAAGCTGAAGTTCCTTCAAAAAATGAGGAAAATGCAATTTATAAATAAAATATATACATTCTTTTTCTTTGTGTGTCTTCTGGAGCTAGGGGAAAAAATGCTCTAAAGCCTTAGGACCAGAAATGTGAGAACATAAGAATGTAGAAATGAGTGGAATGTTGAAAGTAATTACTTTTAACATGACCAGCACATTAAAAATAAGAGCATTGACAAGATGAATATCAAAGTTGAGAAAAAAAAATACATTTCAAGTGACATTCACAACACATTGTAAAAATACCCTATATCAAACAGTTTGAAAAGTTCATGTACTTTAAGGCTTTAATAAAAGACATATGACAGTGGAAACATTTAACATGAATGCTGCAATGACTAGAGTATCCACACAACTTTGAATTAAATACCATTCTTATAGGGAGGATCTTCAGTAGGATAGAGTCTTCTCAAATGGGTATTACAGCTTGAGTGGTTTAATTCAATAGAAGAGATGGGAGGAGTATCTTGTGGCCAGCACAAAGTTTAGCCACTGATTTAGGACAATATACAATTCTTACAAATCTTGACAATCATTGTACATAAAAATATATTAACTCTATCTAATAAAAACTCTAAGTACACTTACAGAATACTGATTAGCTAGACAACCCAGTTTAAAGCAGGACATGAGTTACTCATTGATGCCTAGCAAGTACTATACAATGTATTTACCAAGTGAATGGTACTATCTAGAATCTTTTGACTGATATGTCATATGTCTCTTAAATGATCAAAGTTAATATTGCAATTAAGTGTATCTATTGTTATGTTAAATGCCTTTATAAGGAAGACTTAAGTTATTTTTACAAGCAAGTCTGTCTCTCTTGATATGTTGATAGCCTTTTGAATGTCTTTTCAAGGATCAGTCAAAAGTTAACATTTCCATTACATGTAGGCTACATGTTTAAACACAAGCAAATTAATGATAGGACAAGCACAAACAGGATTACAAGAATGCATCAAGTTTCTCAAGAAAAGTACAAAACTGGAAGTCCTGCTAAGGAAGTGACACTGAAGAATGTCCAGAGTATTAAAGGCACACTTAGTTTTTTCAACTAACAATGAGACAGTTTTTGATGAAGACATTTAAAATGATCCAAGTATAAAAAAAAAAAAAAAATGCAACATGACACAGCATTACTGTAATCTAAATGAATGAATCAAATATGACTAAAGGATTACATTTCCACATCTATTCATAGATCTTAAATATTTATTTTCATATTCAATTCATCATAAATTTAGTATGTTTATGAGTTCCCAATAGATGAGACATATCATACCAGGATGCACAATCGGCATTTTGGACTGTTGACATAGTATTCATCCTCCAACCAATCCCTCAAAACAAAGAAATATGTTTGTCCATATGATCTTTCTGTGAGTTTAAAATGCCAGAGAAACTATATAACTATTCAAAGAATTTTTTATTAAAATTTTACATTTCTTTAAAACAAAGCTAATTTTCAATTATTCAAATATTTAAAAACACATATACTGCTTTCTCAATATTTTTGTTAGTATACTGGTTACATAGAAACTGAAAAAAAAAAAAAAAAAACAACAACAAATATTCATAATTAAAATCCAGATAATTCTAAGTCTGTCCACACTGACTATAACTTGAATGAGAGTCAATGGGGGGGGGGGGGGGGGGGGGGGGGGGTTTGCTCAGTTTTACTTTTTACATGTCTGCATTATGTAAGCAGAGCAGACGATTAGAACCAGCTCTAAGCACTGGATTCTCTTTCTTAGAAAAAGAAGTATAAAATAAATATTGCATGCTTACATAGAGTTAATGAAAACAATATTTAACAGTGAATAAAACTGTGTCATAGACGCTATAAATATTCATTCTTTGGGGATATTAACAAATAGACGATAGACAGTGTAAATTAGATCACAAAAAAAAACATTGCCTTATTTAGATTCAATCCATCACTATAACATATAGTAATATACAAGTCAATAGTAACACAGCCATCAAGTGGGCAACAATTTGAAAACAACATGATTGTGTACACATCTGAATGTTTAGTAAGGAAGCATTATTACCAACTTATGTAAGGCACAAAGACCTAAGGCTTGAAACAAAAATGAGAAAGACTGGATCCTCTTAATACTCAAGCAGGTGCCACCTTTACCTGTGGTGTTTGTAGGTAGGAATGTTTTTCCAGAAAAGGGCACTACAAGAATAAGAAGTGCTCTAGGAGATAAACAAGATTCGTATGACAGAAGGCGGTCAATACTTAAGGCACAGATAAAGTCATGTAAGCTAAACCTAATATGTGCACAAAATTTTAATTTATATCTATATCCATGGAGTATTTCTACCTTAAATCAATTGAATGTATTTACAAATTTGAATAAAATAAATAATTCACAGCACTTCTTTCTTTTTTTTTTTAAATAATCAAAAACAATTTTTTAGTTTTGGAAGCAAGATTATAACATGTTAGTAGGAAGTTAAATCAAGACTTATTTATATCCAAAAAGTTTCCCTGGAGTGATATGATTCAATAGGCAGATCAAGTTGACTTGTTACAGTGGTTAATGGTTTAGCAGGAATTATGTGGGTTGTAGTACCTAACAGCCATACTTCTCCCCAAACAGTACAAGGTACCTAGTTAGAGCTGTGCCAATCAAGAAATTCTGCCTGGCCTAAAGTTCAGAGTAAAATTTTCAATGTCTTCACTATAATTTAGACATGGGACAATAACACTAAACAACTTTGTGATTGTTATATTTATAACAATATCACATACATTTAATATTTGTACCAGTTACATTATATATCATTCATAAATATTTACATGATATATGCAATATTTACACATGAAAACAGAAATGTTTAACCTAACATTATTGAAAAGGTACACAGGTCAAGGTTAACTAAATCAATTACCATATCATACACATGCTGCTGAGTGGAAGTGGCAAGCTAGACAATGAACTGTGCCCCTAGGTCTTTTAAAATTGCTTCACTTTTACACTCTGTTCAAGGCTCTGGTTATAAGCAAGTAGTCTCAGCAGCTACAAGCTACAAGCCAGTGGACTAGATATCCAACTGCTAAATTTAGATCTCCAACTGCTAAATCTAGATATCCAACTGCTAAATTTAGGTATCCAACCTCTAAATTCAGATATCCAACTGCTAAATTTAGATATCCAACTGCTTAATCTAGATATCCAACTGCTAAATATATGTCCAGAAGTTCCAGAAACCTACACCCAAGGCTAGTGCTTGGCTCTAACCATGACCTCAGAACCCAAATATGTTAACAAAGTTATGGTGCCCTGAAGAAGGATATATGGTTTCAGAAAATCAAACAAAAAAAAAAATAGGATTTTTTTTTTTTCATAACATTTTTCTTACAAGTACTAGAATGATAACATATACTGATACAATATACATTGTATGAACGTAAAAAAATATTATAATGAAGAGTGAATTAAGAAACTCCCTTCACCATTACATGTGTTACAAAGATGAGAGGCTATTACACAATTTATCACATGCATAATAAATAGATTTGTTGATTAGCCTTGCACCAGTCCTTGTAAGTGCTGCGGTCTTAGGTTTATGATCGCTTACAACAGGATCCAGATTTTTTATCTTTCATCTCATGTAGCTGCATGCCAACTGTCTTTACTTCTAAATCTTCATTAGTGCGCAACAATCTAAAAGGAAAGAATTTGTCAATTTTTTAGACAATAAAAGTTGTTACATTTTTTTTCAAAGGCAATTAATAGATGAAACAAAAGCTTGGAAATTTTCCTTAAGTTTTAGGTATTAGCTCCAAACAAAGTAAAGTAGAGTAAAAAAAGCCAATGATAAGAGTGTGGCATAAAATATGCAACATAAGATCAAAGTTATGGGCAACAACAGCTAGCAGGTCTTACATAGAAGTCCACATAAAGAGTCTTAAGTAGACAAAACAATATGCTTAGCAGTTAGTTATCTCATTGCCTCATAAAATCTTTTAGAG